AGCTTTCTCCTACCTGTCATCCATACTTCACAGAAAGAAATAAAACCCTGTACTGACATACTCCAGGCCTTCTCTTCTTGCCAAAGTAATGCTTTGTTAATTATATGGAGTCCTCTGCTCTTACATGTGCAGGTTATTAGTTGCTGTAAAGGGGTGAGGGATTGAATCCTACTCTTATTGATTTTAAAAAACAAAAATTATCCAATTGGCTCTTGTTTGTTGTGAAGTTTCCTGGAGCCTATTTTCTCTGCTTACAGTGGAGATTGCTTGCTGATTTTGCTGCATGCCCCTGAGCATATACCCTACAGACTCAGGCTGTTAAGTGGCAGCTTGTATGGAAATGGGAGGCAGCATCACCTATTAAATAGTGTTGGGTTGTTTTACACCTGTATTGCAGTAGTGTGCAAAAACAATAGGGTAATTTTAATGAATTAGAAAGAGTGAGTTGAATTATTTTTTTGCTAATTGAAGATGGGAAAATTCAAAATGTAGCTCAGTTTCAGTGGTATCTTTTTCCCTCTGGGTTTATAATGGAGTAATAAAATAGAGCTTCTGGATTTAAAGGATAATTAGAGATTCTCATTACATCACTGGTTGGAAGATGTATTATTTGGAGCCATTGCTGAAATTATATGCAGGATTTTGAATACATTGGAGGTTGATAACTGAAGCTTCATGGAAGATTTTAAAAATATTTGTTTTACCGGCAGAAAACTTAATTGGAATACATCTCTGATATAGTTATGTGCAGCATTAAGTTTAGTCATTTAGGAACTTTTTGAAGGACAAATCTTGTTCCTGTGTCTTTGCAGTAGGTTGGAAATCCACAAGACAGGGGGCAGAAGTCTAATATATGCATCCTCCATCTATGCTCCTTGAAACACAGGATGGTTTTCCTATGCTCACGTGACTTTGTGGCTGAGGTTAGTAGGTTTTATGAAAAGGTGATTTATTAAATGGTTTCCTCCTGTTGTGGGTTTGAATAGGAACTACTCCAAATCTGAGGCCAGAACAATGGCTATGGAGGAAATTACTCATGGAAGGATCTGTGGAGGAAGGAGCATGTTTTTATCAGCGGTAGAAGAACTTCCCGGTACATGGGAGTCTTACTAAAGATGACTTATGCATCAGGGAGTAGTGACAATTTACACCTTTGTATTGCTTCCAATTGAGTATTAAAGACTTAAAGGTACAATGTGTGATTTCTTCTTAGTTTGACACATTTGGAAAGTATTCTTCATAACCACTTGGATTCAAAATACATTTTTATGAAGGCTTAAGCATTTGGTGTTTATTTCAGCCAAAGTCAAAGGCTTGGGAGGCTTCTATTGGGTAATTCCCTGGTTGCGATAGATATTGTACAAACTAGGGGGACATGAAGCCAGTTAGCAGAGAGAAGGATTTATCTTGAATTTATGATACATGTTGCTGGCAAAATAATGCTTGTGCTTTTACCCTGTGATTCCTTGTGATTCATAAAACATATTCTGAGTAGGGTTCAGCAGCTGAAGGTAAAGCATTTCTGGTTTTTATGTTTTACATTCTGCTAGATGATTTGGGAAGATCTATTCTGATAGGAATATTTCTGAGGAAATAGTTTCATTTTTGGATGGGTATAAGTACCTAAATATATGGCATCTGAAATGGCAGTAGACAATTTTGTATCTGGGACATCTGCATAGGGCTGGCAGATATAAGACATACCAGTAACCCAGACCTTCCAGCAGTGGCCACTGGAGGCCAACAGGAATTCCCTGGGGTATCTAGGAGGTACTAGATATCTGGGTTTGGATGACTGAAATTTAAATTTTAATGTTTTAATATTTTGGTATTTCAGATGAGCAAACTGCAAATGACTTTTTTACACCTGTCAGGAAGAATAATAGAACCACTTTCCTGAAAAAACTTTTGCACAAGTCTGTGTTCTAAGAGTAAGGCAATGTAGGTGGTTTGCCAATTTATTTTACTTAGGTTATTATTTTGCCAGTTTACAGTACCTAGCTTATAGAGTCAGCAAGATATGGGTTATTTTACCAACCTTCCCTCTTCCCCGAGAGGTCCACCTCCAAAATGAAAAAGAAAATCAGGAGGAGAATCCCAGTCCAACTCCTCGTAGGTTAATTTTATGTCAGTCAGTTATTCAGAGGAGGAAGGTGTGAGTTAGTGCAAGGACTGATGTTCAGTCAGGGTAAAAAAAAAAAAAAAAAGCCCTGGAACATGTTCAGCATAGCTTAGAGAACAAGCTTATGTAGCTTATATAGCAACATAGCTGGAACATGCTTATGGCAAGCTGAGGATTTGCACCAAAGCTGTAACTGTACATTGTCAAAATAGAGGTGTCCTTTAGCTATGCGATAATGTCTTCAGTTATTTGAAATTAATTTGAAAATCAAAAGGGCTATTGAGTGCATGTAACTAAAGTGTCTAAATATTTATATTCCTAATAAAGGTTCTTCTGTAGGAAGATTTTATCTCTTACGTGTTTAATGAAGGACACGATAGAAGAAGCCTAAGTGTGACCATCTCAGGTAACCAATAGAGAAACACAGATGCTTTTAGGATATGATGGAATCTCTTAGAATAGCTGCTTTGGGATAGGATGAATCACAGCCCACAAATGCCTATTTCTCTTCAGTGACTATAAAGAGAGAGGGGGAGTAAAGTGACTCAGTAAAATGTAGCTGTGTATATTTGGTCAAATATATTTCAAGCTAAGTGCATAAGGCTAAAATCCAGAGGCAGTTCAGCTTTCCATGGCACCCAGTATATGTGTCTCAAACACTTAGCAACAAAAGCTTGGTTGGAGTGTACTGCAGTTCTCCTCTGGCTGATGCCTTCATCACCCTTCCCAACTAGAAGCACCCTGTGAAGGAATGGTGCATGTGTACTTAGTTTTCATCCTTATGGGGAATCAGTGTCACCCTAAAATAAAGTCAGGATGCAGACTGGATGTGTGTCTGAACCCATGTATTTGGATCTCACAATTTAGACGTGGCTTAAACTCCTTGCACAAGCGGCGGAAGGAGAGAGAGCATTTGGAAGTCTTCCAGGAGCCACCTTAATTTTGGTAAGATTGATTCCTAACATGTAACTTGAATATTTGCTTGCTTCTGTGGTGTGTTTTCATTTTATATTTCAGCATATATGATGAAACTAGAACAGTCTGGTTTAATTTCTGGGCACAATCTGCAACTTTCCTAGGTAAGGGAGATGTTGGGATGTCTGGGTTCTAGAAAGTTAAAACAGTTGAAAAGCTGGATTTAAAGTTCTTCTAATAAGCCTATTTTTAAAACCAAAATTAGACCAGCACTTTCAGAACAGCATACTTGTTTCCTGTTAGTAACTTGGAATTTTGACATTAATCTTAATTTTTTTAATCTATAGTGATTTATACCATCACTTCAGCCCTGATACAGAGATTGAGGTATTTTGGAAAGGCTGGCATCAGTGGTATTATGCATGAGTGCCTAGTTTTAAAATCTTGGCAGCTGCTTTGACTTTTCTTTATGCTGTCATTCAGACCATAGCTACCAAGGCTGAATTTTGCTCATAGTAACAGTTGTGGGAAGTTACTAAAGGAAGAGTCTATTATTGACACAGGAAATAGTTTTGCAGTTCTTTTTATCATTCCTGAACTTACCAAAATGTCACTGTTGCCATGGGTCATCTATGCAAGGCTCAAAATCATCTATCTGTTACCCTGAACGTGACATAAATTGTTTGGTGATTTCAGTGTTAGTGTTACATATGCTCCACGCTTCTTGCAAAACCCCCTTTAAATTGACAAGTTTTGTTGTTTCTGTAATTAGATCTAATCACTATGATTCAGAAGTAAAGAGGGAAAAACAACTGTGTGGGTTCTGCATTTTTCAGTTCTCCTCCTCTTTATTACTTCCAAAATTGTCCACTTTTCTCCAAAAGTTATGTGAACATTATTCAGAAAATTGTGTGTAATAGTCGCCTTTAGCAGCATTTTTCCCTTGATTCATTAATTACAGGAGCATGTCAAGCAGAGCAGATGGCATTTTCTGAGTTGGGAATTTACCTTTGTTTGTTATTCTTTGTGGAGTTTGACATCTGAATTTCTCAGCTTCTCTAAGATGATGATGTTTTGCAATTAAATATGTAATATGGTTGTATAAATTGGCTTGAAAATTGAAATTCCGGCCTTCTTCTTTGTAACCGATGTGGAAAACGAATGGGTGCATGGGCACATTTCCATTTGGGATCAGTCACTTTGGAACTACTCAGTCCTCAATGTACAGAGCAATTATTTTAAAAAATATCTTTTTCTTTAGTCCATGAAACTTATGGCACCACTCAAGCGCCATTTTTGAGAAAGTGCATACGTTTTCTCTTGAGCTTTCTGATGGGTCCTAGCTAAAAGGTCCACAAATGGGATGTGATTGTTTTTCAGCATTCCCTGTTGAGTTGAGGGTCTTCTGATCCTTTGGCATAAGAGGATCTAAAACATAATAACCCATAATATTGAGGATCTGCGTGGCTGCTAGTTTTGTGGTTTTGATTCAGGAGTCCAAGGGATGGTATCTGGGAGCGCCTCAACCCTGTTTGACTGCAGTTAAAACTCTACAGTGGTTGAAGACCAGTGTATGCACTGTGAAGCAGTGGCACTTGTATTAGGGTTGTAAAGGCAGTGCTGAACCCTCACCTTTTGAGGGGTTGTGTTAGTGACTTGAGTTTGAAGGGTTAGGGGTGGAGGTAACTTGCAAGTTTCCTCCCTCTTTAGAGGCAAACTATCAGACCACGGAAGCTCTTGGCAAATGTTTGGGGTATGTTCATGTGGTCTGTGGAGAAGGTGGATGGCTCCTGGTGATTGGTGGTGCCTGTGCTGCTTACTCTCCCTTCTCTGGTTTGGGCACCATCTTCTTCTGTGTTGTAACCTTCTGCTTGACTAGACCTAGGATTTCCAGACTCTTGTGTCTTGTGTCTCTTCCTCCCTTTCCCTCTCATCCCTCTCCTCATTTTCCCTCTCACCCTCTTTTGTCCAGCTTCGTGTCATGCTTTGGCCCCCCTGACTTTTCTGACACCCCCTCTGCCATGTGCCCTCCAGGGCTGGTCTCATGCATGTCCCTGGGGCACCAGCCGAAGGGTCATGAGAGCAACAGGCGAGGTTGTCTTCCTGCTGTCAGCTCCAATGTCTGGTCTCTGGCAGATGGGAGCAGCAGTTACAGGGGAAATCCTGCTAATCTCCTGTAACTTGAGCCCATTACATGCTCAGTCACACTGTGGGGCTGGTGCCTTTCCAGCCGCATACGGACGGATGGCTGAAGGAGACGGACACTCACTGCAGAACATTTTCTGAGGTTTGCACTGTAGGGGTCAGAAACAAAAACCAAAAAGATGCTATGAGTCAGCTGAATGCTTGCAGGTTTTAAAGCTTTGTCAAATGGGAAAATATTTTCATATGCATAGCAAAAAAGTAGCCTTGATTTTAACCAAAAAAAAAAAAAAATCAAACCCCAAACCTCAAAAAAGTAAGGGATCAGCTCTTTGCCAAATTTCATGACAGCCCCAACATGGGCAGAGGAGCCAGAGTTCCCCAGTGAGTGACTTACAAGGATAGCAGAGGAACATGGTTTTGTCTAGGCTAACTCAGAAGCAGGCAAACTGTGTTTTGGCAGAAAAGTAAAAAAAAATCCTGCAGCAGATGTCCAGCATGGAAAATTTTTAACAAGGGCAGCTCAAGTCTGGCAAAGTCAAAAGAATGTGGAAAATCCTGACAAGATGCACCAAGCCATCTTAATAACAGATAAAGTTACCACCCTTGTCCCCAGGGTCTCTCGAACCCGCCAGAATCATTTATTTGTTGTGTTTGGGTTTTTTTTTGGGGGGGGCGGGAGGGTTGTTTGAGATTTGTTATATAGGGCAAAATAGTGCAGAAGGGAGGGGGGTGACTGAACAGAAAGCAAGGGCTTGCTGGCAGGAGTCTTCTCAGCAGGAGCACATTGCAGCCATGCCTGGAAGGGGAGGGTTTTCGCAAATTGGGTGGGAGATGGTGGAGCCCAAAGGAGAGTTGTTGCTTACAGGATAGGGGAATAATGGATTTTTGGGAAGCTGTGTTTATAATATGCAAAATAGTCCATAGGAAACAATAGGGCCTTGGGTCAGAGCTGCCAGTGAATGAGAGCTTTGTTTTCCTCTTGTCTATTCATATTTCTAAACTTTTTGTGGTATTTTAAAAACATTTTACAATTTTTTTTGTGTAATGGCTTGCATTGCCTGAACTGCTCTCTAAAGTAGTGTTGCACTGCAATCTTTATCCCTTTCTGGATAAAGACTGACTTTCAGCTTTAAGCTCCTTTCTCTGTTTTTCTTAATTGCAGCTCTTATTCAGTAATCCTTGGCTGCTGTGTTCTCGTGTTTTAAAACTTCAGTAAAATTTGTGTGAGAACTGACTGACAGGAGACCTTGTGTACCAAGTGTGTCAAGCTGCCCACAGCTTGACTTGAAAATGGCAATTGGTATCGCAATCCTTATGCCAGAACCTTGATACAAATGAACATTAGCTGCAAGCTGCTTGCACGAACTGCAGGTTAGATGCTGCTGATGTGATTTATCTGCCGCTGATACGAATTAAAACATCATCAATTAGATGATGTTTTCATTGAGAAGCATCCCACACCTGCAGTCGCCAACAACCGGTCTGAAATATTCAGAAAGATGTTATGCTTGTATTGCAGTTAATTGCAGGCGCTGCACATAAGATTATGCAGTATTAAAAGGAGAGTATTACTGCGTGAATTGGAGTGTGTTTTGGCTGCACGTTATGGTTTGACCTATTCTGGTGCACAGCTCACCTTTACAGCCAAAACAGCATCATTGCAGTTTTGCAGTTTCAGAAACATTGTTTGTGCACACGTTTGCAATTAGCAAAAGCATTGAAAATCCTTGTGCAAGAAATGGTATAGCTGCTGTTGCAGTGGAGGGGAAGGGAGTTGTTTGTTTTTGCTGCGTATATTATTTCATGGAGGTATTGCTTTACCTCACCAGTAAAACTCCTTCCCTGCGCGAGGGAAATTCCTGGTTCATTGGTATGGATGCATTGTTTTTACACATTAGAAGTGCTGTGTTGCTGTGTCAATCATCCCGTTAGGATCAGTTTAAGAGCAGTAGGGCTGACGAAGCTGGGTGTGATTGGCTGCCATACGCTGGGAGGGCTCTGTGAGAAGGAAGGGCTGCAGTCTTTCAGCAACAGAGTTTAGGCTGTGTCTTTGCTTCATCATCTGAGAAAAAATCCCTAGATAAGGCACAGGGCTTTCTGAGGGGAAAAAAAAAAAAAAATTACAGGCTGCTCATCGTTTCACGTGAGAATTAGTTGCCATGATGCGATGGGAAAGATGTGGCTGTTTGTTTATATCAGATGTTCCTGCTGACGTTGGGAATGTGTCGAATAGACAGGGCTAAACAAGGTAGGAGAATCATTGTGTTTTATCGAATGTTTAAAGAGTTTGCTGCAGTATGCTGCATACTGTATGTGTTGCTTGGGGGAGTCGGGGAAACAGTGCTACTCTGGTGAATAGATTCTGTTTGGGTGCAATAGGTGGACTTTATGGTAACTTGTTTTCGAAGGGTATTAATTTCCAGTGTAAATAGCTCTCTTCAGAAATAGAACATGAGTATATGCACATTAACACAAGTAAAAAAAGAAATAGGTCAGTATGTTTCAGAAATGCTGCTACCCTAATTGGATTTTTAGCTGAGTTGTTGTCTGGAAGTGCTGCCTAGCTTTAAGAAGGAGAAGGAGTCAGCCTGGAAATCTGTGAAGTTTATAGCAGCTATGTTTGAAGATTTAGCTGAATTAGACTGGCTGATCTAAATAATTCCTTACCAGAGGCTTTAACTAAAGCCAAGACTGCCTGTTTTAGACTTGAAGGAGCTATACAACGAGATTACAGTATTTTACCCTGTCGTAAAAGTATGGGCATTTTTGACTTCACTGTAATTCCTTGTGCTCTTGAAGGAAAGCTGGGAGAGTTTTTCACATTGTAGTTTAGCTGAGTGTTTCCCCTGTCCTTTCCAGGTCTTTGTCTCAGCAGCAAAACAGAACCTGTACATCACGGCAAGGAAAACAAGGTTAATAATATGTGCAGCAATTATTGGATCTTTATACATTTTTAATGAGAGAACACACAGCTAGCAGAATAATTTAATGAGCAGGCTGGCTTTTAGAGCAATGATTTCACTGTGCTAAGGCAAACCAACTTTCTTGCAGGGGAGGAGCCTCAAGAAGGAATGGTGAAGATTTATGTTAAATGCTCTGGAGAGAAGGGAGAGATATTTAGGCAGAAGTCTGTGAAATTGTGGAAGAATAGTATAGTTGTTAGCTATTATTATTTATTGAATGGAAAGCAAACTTTACCGTCATGTTGCAGGAGGTATCCGAGAACATTGCTTTATCCTGGGATGTGCTGAAGCTTCTTCAACTTTCTCAGACTGCCATATGCATTGAGAGTGCTCAGTACCCTTCAGGATTTCACCCAGTTAGCGACCTGAATTAACATGCTGACTTCAACTGGATTATAGAAGCGTTGTTTGTATGTGCAGTATATAATAGAGTTTTTATTTTTTTCTTTTTCCTAAGAGACAGCAAGAAAACGTTGTCATCTTATTTCTCCTGTAATAGCCATGACATTGCATATAGGTGTATGTATTCAAGTAGGACATCGATAGGAAAAGAAGAAGTATGAACTGAGGAAGACGAAAGATCAATTTCTTAAAGAGAAATTACGTTAAAGGATCTTTTCCTGCCTAGAAAACCTTTAATTCATGTAATTTTTGGGAAAGTTTCAAGACCTCTTTTATCCTAGGAATGAGTTACACTAGTTTTAAAAGTATTGCATTAAGTAGGCCCTTGCAGACCAGCTGTCCCTCCTGTTTTTCAAGGAGAAGTACAGCACAAGTGCTCAGAACTGCCGATACCACCTCCTGACTCCTCACAACTGACTTTGCTCAGAGAAGGTCAATACAAGTTCCCTGCTCCCTGGCCAGGTACTTGCTGAAGACCTTGCAGCAGGGTTATTGACGCATATTCGGTTCATAAGCTGGTCATTTTTGAATGCTACATCTTCTAAATAAAATCAACCTCATTTCTTCTGAGAATTTCAAGCTTTGCTAAAAAGGGAAACACATGTCAGGATGCAGAGCATTATTATTACAAATCCATAGGGTATGGATATGTATGTTTAGCTGTCTATCACTATTGATGCTTAAATGTGTTGTTTGTGTGCAGACTGTTAAGGATGTGAAGCAAAGACTGATAATTAGAAGCAAGTCAAATAATCTTTTTCAAGCTATAAAATGTGACATGAATGTACCATTTTTGAAAATAAAACAATTTTCATATAGAGCTTTCGGTGAAAACTTTTCAGTCTCCTGTTTTGAGACAGTCTCTTACTTTCAAATGGTTTAAGTTGCTGTTTTTCATACATTGGAGATCACAATATAGAGAGTTATCCTTTTTATGCCTGATTACCAAAGTGCAAATTTGCATTCAGCACTCAGATAAATAGTTTGAGGTTGACAGACAGTCAAGTGACAAAAGGATTTTAAAAAATACTTCCTGCTTAAGGTGTCTATATAGTAGTACTTTACATGGATAGGTAAGTGAACCTTCATCTTGGAGGGTAAAGGTGGTAGTAAACATTCTGTATTTACATTTATTATGTAAATAGTTGGTGTCAAAAATGTTTTGGACCACACTCTGCTACCTCTTTTCATTTAGCTTAATTGCTCCGTGGATTTCGTCAGAACTATTAGTGTGATAATATCTTACTGTGTGCAGTCTGTCTGTTTTCAAGGAAAAGTTACTTTGTTTATAATTAGTCTCTTCATTTTCATAAGGTAGAATTTTCTAACGAGTTACAGGTCCTGAAGTATAGTGCTTGACTATAGAGTGTTTATAAAGTCAAATCAAGTTCTTAATTTGTAAGGGTGTATTTTACAGAAATGTAAGATAATTATGTACTACAATTTTTTTTTTTTTTCCTAAGCAAGGAAAATGGCTCATAATGTTATATGGGATTTCAGGCACTCAGGTCTCACCTCTGCTGTGAATTAGTCTATGTTGCTCACAAGTATGTTAGGAATAATCTGCACTGTGTTTATTTGTAAACGCTCTGTAAAATGTTCGGCTTTTACAGCATTGTGAGATGAAAAAAAGACAGTGTTCAATTAAAATTCCTTATTAATGATTTTGCATACAGTTTTGATTTTCTAAATCATTAGACACATTGCTAAGATTTAAATTTCATGTGATAGCTATTAGTGATACCTTGCTTCGTAATGTTACTAGAAATTTCTGACTTTGAGGATTTTTTTTTTCTCTTCCAGGCAAGAAACACCTTTTTAAAAGCCAAATTATTTTTTCCACTTTTTTTTATGAATAGGGCTGTTACAAAATTGTAGTAAAAGAGAATAAAATCACTTGCTTTAGAACTTACCAGTATGTATTTTCTTTTTAAAACCTTTGATTGGGAAGCTAATGGGATATGTTTAATACAATGTGTTATGGTTAACTATTGTGAACCAGTGCTACGTAACTGGTCTGTGAACAGGCTGAAACCATAGCCTGAGGAAAATAAAACTAATTTCAAGAGGGTGTCAGTGCAGAAAACTAGTTCAAATAATAGCAGTATTAACTGCTTGACTAATTAAACTAATCTTCTTATACATTGTTAGCAAATGCAGTGACAGTTGTTGGTTATTGATATATGGAGTCTTCTTTTTTAAAAAGTCTTCTTTTAGAAGCAAACTTTTTGGCTCAATTTGGAATAGAGAGTACACGAGGAGAAAGAAGTTATGCAGCCCCTTTCTAGAATCTGCCAACTTTTTAATTTCCACATTTTTTTAGTAAAAATAAGGCCATTCAAACACCAAGCCCTCCCTCCAATAATGTCAAGTTCTTAGTTCAATATTTCAAGCATGCTAAAAAAGGAAAACTTCAGGGATGTGAAAATTGAAGAGCATACCTAACAGGGGATTCAATGCAACGTCCTTATAACTGACACAAAGAAATACTAATTTATAGGCACTCTGTGCTACTGATGATTACTAAAGCTGTTGAGAACTGCCAGTGTGCAGCTTGCTGCTTCTGCAGAAGACTTGTAGGATTCCTGGAGGCTTAAGTCTGGCAAAAGACCTGGTGGTCTGGTGATACCTGAAACTTTGTCGGTTAGAAGAGCTCAGCTGTAAACAAATTGATAAACAGAGGTTCACATTCTTCTTTTAAAATTATTATTTTTTAATGTCTTTTTTCTTCCCCCTCCCCCCCTTTTTTCATACCTAGATATATGGTGACAGATGCATACACATATGCATAATACATACACACTCATAAAAATGTTGTTTCATCTTTGTGCTTTTTGTAATACAGAAACAATAGCTAATAAAGACAGTGGGAGGGATTTAGTGGTATAGTCGCTGCATAAAGAAATGGATCAAGAAATAGGAACAGATGGTTCATATCAGAGTCTATTAATTTTTTCTATTTAGATCAGTGACTTATTTTTATCAGTTTCTGAGTGGATTATAAACAGCATTTTGGGAAGGTTTGGGTGTCACTTATTGCTGAACTCATAAATAGAGACGGGGTCAGTCTGGAGCTTCATGTGCTGTAAAATCTCCTCTCCTACAGGGAGTACAGTGCCTCTGAGAATAGGCAGAATTAGAGAGCACAAGTAAGGAAAAGTGCGGAAGTGTTTTCCCTTGGTAGTTTTACGGAAGGAGGAAGCTAGGACTTGGTTAGAGATGTTTGGGTTTTGTTTTGTTTTGTTTTGGAGTTTTTTTGGTGGGAATTCTGAAGGCAGCTTTTCAGTGTGTTTTTTGTGTTTGATCACTTTTAAGGCCTAGCAAATTTTTATTTTTTTTTTTTTTTGACTCTGGCATTCTCTCCTATCCAGACTGAATACATTTTTCCTTGATTTTCTAAGGAATTTAATGTTGCTGGTGCTTTTTTACCAAAATACTGTGTTATTTATTCTTCGGGTATTCTGAATGGTGCAGTCCCCTACCCTCTAATTTCCTGAATCTGTCATGATTTTTGCACTTTATAGGTATTATGGACAGTGTTTTGAACTTAGCCTAAACTGACCTAAGGTTGCCAAGTGGCAAGATTTCTGTTACTTACAGGCACTCAGAAGGATGATTTTTCAATGCAAGGTTTCGGTGTGTTGGGTTTGTGCCTTGACGCTCTCTTTCGGCAGCTCTCTGTGGTACGCTCCTCCTGATATTGAGCTGGGGAAAGTAGCTGCCTTGTCGGACAGCAAAGCCCAGTTGTCGTCCATTTTTAACTTTTTTTGGTATTTCTACTTTTCAGACTGTCTGCAGTGCTGTTATCAGCAGTTATATGCATTTTTCAAGCTTAGAGCTGCACTGGTTTATCAGCAGACACCTCTGGCTGTTCCTCTGGTGGGGCAGGGGGGCTCACCACTGGCAGGAGCGTACCTCTGCACCTTGTTAATGATTCAGGACTTCAGCACTGTCTCACTCTTATTTACTTAAAAGGCTGTGATACCATGTATGGGATTTCCCTGATGGCTGTGTTCACCTGTGGCACAGCATCCCCAGCTACAACCTTGTCTGCCATGAGGAGACCAGTGCCAACTTTCCACCTTCATCACCTCACCCTGATAGCCAAAACTCAGTGGGACCTGGGGCACCTTGTCCAGCTGGCAAGAGTCTTTTGCAGAGGAGGACGCCGGTGCGTGGGCTGCTGATGCTGGGGATTGCAGTGCTGCAGTCCTTATTGGCATGCTGAACATGCTCTGGCAGCACGGCACGCTGCTGTCCTGGAGTTGTAGTGCTTGTGTTTAAAAACTTTTTTGCCGCATGTGTATTTTTTTACAATTCCCTTGTGTACTTTAGTTCCCCTCTGCTAACGCTGGGACACGCTTGTCTTATTGCCCTAATTTTATGGAGGGAGTTAGGGGATGTGGGGGGTGTAGCGTGGCTAAAAACCCCAAGATTTTTGTTGCCACATTAGAGAAGGCATGAAAAGCTTTGAAAGTGGACCCACTGATGTGTTTATAAAGCCAGTGCACTTTCTCTTCTCCCTCCCCCCTACCCCCTTTTTTTTTAAAGACCTCATTTAATGCTCGGGACTTTGTGCAGTGAGGCCACTTTCAAAGGCTTTCGTATCCACAGTAGCAGCTCTTTGAAGTAGAGACGCCAGCGGGGAACAAGCCATCAGCTTAATCTTTGCTGTAAAAGGTCCTAAGTGGTAAGAAGCCACAACATCCATCTCTGGGGGAGAAGTTGGAGAGCAATACTTGGAACTGAATCCGTCTCCTGGACCTTGCCCTTGCCCGTGGAGATGGAAGTCTTTGGACACTTTCCATGGGGCATTAGGGATGCAGTCCCTTTCATCTCTCTGGTTTTCCACTCTTGTTCTGTCCCAACTTCTTTCCCCAGTCTCTTGAAGAGGAGGGCACAACCAAAAGGCAAGGAAATAAGGCCTGAGAACAAATGTGTTTCTGCAAGGCTTTGTTTGCCTTCCCATGTTGGTAAATGATTCCTCTGGCGTGCAGAGCAGGTGGCACAGTTGCTGGTGTTACCTGCCAGTCCTTGCGTGGCAGTGGGGCGTGTGTCCATCCAGTTAGGTCAGACTAGACGGCTTTGGTGGCCCCAGGAGATAAGGCTGTGCCTTCATGTTCTGGATATCGTCATTGGAGGTGCCTGTCTCCCCAGTGGCACGAGAAGGCTGAAGGAGATCATGCTTTTTGGTTGCCGGTGATGCATTTAGCTGCTTGAAGCTACATGGGATGAGTCTACCACCTGTGGAATCCTTTTGTTTGAAATAGGAGACGAAAGTGTTGAGTTTCTCACAGGAGGGCTTGAGGATCAGCCTGTCCCTATGGAGCTGTAGCCAACTTTGGTTGCGGAACTATGCTGCTTGTAAGGAGCTGCCATCCTGAGGTGGAGAAGGCAGAAGGGTAAGCTGAGGACAGCAGTGTGTACCTTGACTGGCACGTGGCTCAAGTCACCAGGGGTGAGAGGCTTTCTGAGGAGGCCTTTCCTTCTCAACCACAGTAGCTGTTGTTGATTCTGATGACTATTTGAATAATCTGATTTTTTAAGCCAAAAAGTTATTTTTTAACTTGTTCGCATTTTTGACCTTCAGCATGTCACCTGTCATTTAACTTCACCCTCCTGCAGTTTGCTGTATGCAAAGATAGCTGTCTTTTGTATGGCTTCCCCAGTGGTAAATCACTGAGTGGCCCCTGCATCCTTGTCAAAATCTGGTAGTCCTTGTCATCAGGCTGTATGAATTTCATATTCTTTCTGTTGTCAAAAGCCTTGCTGTTGCCTCTTTGTATGTGTAAGCCTTTCCATAGTGCTGATGGTGCTGTTGCTGTTCTCTTACCCTTTTATCATTCCAGAGTTACGTGCTCCATGACTATACACAGTAGTGTAATTCTTTTCTGTTTTCCTTTGATAGTGCCAAATGTTTTGCTTGCTTTATACTCCATCAACTGCTGAGTATTTTGCAGAAGTCTTCATTGAATTGCTTGTAATGTCCATATGATCTTTCCTCTGTAGCAGTGTCTTGTTTGAACCTAGTGCTGTGTATATACTATTCATTACTTGTCTGTTTTTCCTCTCATCTGCTTTTTTTTTGCCTATCATTATGTTAAACTGATGTCATTTTATCATCCAGTGTTCTCATTATCATGTGATGCTTTTGTAACTCTTCACAGTTGTCTTTCAGTATGACTTTGCAAAAAATTTATATTATCTGCAAACTATCTTATTGTTTATGGTTATGTTGCAAAGCAGGGAAGGTAAGCTGTTGGCAGACCTAATTATGAAAATTTCAGTGGATTATTAGAAATAAAAACATATTTAATCTCGTGAGTTTGTTGGATTTGGGGGCTTTTGTAGAATTTTTTGACTGAACTTTTTCTCTGACTTCAGTTTTCATAATATCTGCAAATGTTTAACCCTTTTAGATATCCTTTTAAAATAATTTTTTTTTTAACATCTGTAAGACCTATGTCATCACAGTAGGTGAGTTCCACAAAAATCATCAGGTTACAAAGAGGAGGTGATTCATTTGCTTTCATTTTGCTTAATTTTGACTTTCAGGATTTGTGTTTTCTAGCGTTTCCTTACCATTGTCAGAACTGTACTCCTTAATAAAAACTGACAGTTGCCTGTAAACACATTTGTAGGTGATAAGGTTTTACGGAATGCTCTTGATGTTTTCAGGCTTCCAGTGAAATGGACAAGAGGGAGCTGTGCTGCAGCAGGGTTCTGTAGTGGATCCTTAAACTTGAGGATTCTTGTCATATTATATAAGGTGGTTGGTGGTTTGTTTTTTTTCTTGGTGGTTTTGTTTGTTTGTTTGTTTTTCTTAAATAGAAATGAAAACAGACTTAGTAGTAATATTCTGCTTTGGTACCTCGTCCCTCTGTATCTCCAATCGCCGAGACAATACTTTTCACTTTTCGGAAAGATAAATGTGATGATTTTCATCTTTGAAGTGCTTCACTCAAAGCTAAAATGATTGCCCTGTAATAGGACTGATGAGCAAGTTTCTGCTTTTCTCATTTAAAAATACAAAATTTCTGATTTAAAAAGATTACATTTTTTTTTGTTTGTGTGGCTGTATTGACTCGTGCTGCAGTTAGGAAATTTAGGTTTTGCATTGTGCCTTGTTCATCAGCAGGATTGTTCTTTAATTGTTTTCCTGGTGGACCTTGTTTGTCTGGTGAAAAAAACTGGGACCTTAATTGTGAATTTCCATGCAACTTTATGGAACCATAATAATTAAATAAAAAAAAAAACCAAACCCCACTCCTCATTATGTAAATTGAGTGAACTTTTTCTGGAAGAAATTCTAAAAGCATAGAGCTAGAATACGACTGCATCTTTGTTGTCTCTCCCTTTTCTGTACTTTCAGGGTATAAGTGCCTTTTTTTTTTTTTTTTCTGGTAGCAGAGAAACAGTTCTGCTCAGTTGCTGTAAAGTGGCACCATGGTTACTACTGTTTCAGGTGATGGGCAAGAGGGATAAATGTGGAGAAAGGTCTTTCAAGTAGGTTTTCAGGATTTTCTAGAGTCCATGCATGGTAATAAAGTGTGTATTTCTCTGAAAGCCAAATATTGGTAATGTAAACTTTGCAGCCCGTAAAGTTGCAGAGAATTACTGGAGGGCATACTTTTGAGTGAGGGGTGTGTGTGTGTGTTAAAATCTATTTATTTATTTTGGTTTGGTTTTTATTTTCTGGTCTGTTTGATTTTAAGTTTCACCTTCTTTGTCCTGGAAATGTTGTATGAAATGGAAAGAAGTCCTATCAAGTGTCAGGGTCCAGAGTGTGTACATAGGCTGAAGGTTAGAAGATACTAAATCTCTTATTTACAAGCTAAGCAAATATTGCAATAAAATGAGGCACATTCAACACACACATTTAAGTCATTTTTGAAAAGTTGTTTTTGGAATAAAAATGTGTGTAAGCATAACAGCAGCAGTTCACTTTTTACATTTATACATGGACAGTTTTTTTCTCTGAGTAGTGTTATTAGTGTTACTTATTTGACCAAATCCATTTTTTTTTTCCTTTTCTGCTATTTATTACTTTGTAACACAGCAAATTTGACATTGTCTTTAAAAATAGTGTTGTATATCAAGGTGATATCTGAACGTTGTTAAAGGAAGCTCCTGAATTATGATTTAACACAGAAGTTATGCAAGACAATATATATTGTAAAGTGCAAAAAAAAGTAGGGCTTTAAATATCATTTTGTGACTAAGCTTGAACTACAACAAATGAATTAAGCCTTTGAAAAGGACAAAAATGTCAAGACTTATTTTAATCAGTCCAAATTTTCCGCTGCAATGTGAGCAGAAAGCTGTCTCTTGCCAAAAGCCAGTTGCTTGTGCTGAGTGTCAGATGAGAGTCCATTGCTTTGGAAGTGCTGGAGAATGCCAGGCTGTGCTTAGCAGTGTTGCTGTCCCTGGCAGGAGAGAGAAATCTCTGCAGTTAAAGGTAAGCAGAGAGAGAAGAAAAAGGTCTGGAAAAGTGCTCTGTCAAAACATTTATGGGAAATGTGTTCAGTTTTCACTGCAAACACATTGCAGTTCATTGTGTCAAGGGATGAAAGAGCTCGATTTTTCAACTTTCCTGTTGAAACACAGTTTACAGTGCATTCCTGAATAACTGTGTGCTTATCCATGATAACACTTAAGTTACGATAAAATGATTCAACCATATGCAAATAAAGTGTTGAGGTGGAATTCTTTCAGTGTTGCTAAAATACTTTTACTTTTCCCCTCCAGTATTTTCACTTTTCAGACAGAGGAGGCCTTGAGATACTGAAATTTCCTTCAGGAAAAGTTTTCAACAACACCTAGTTGAGAGTAGGAAAGACTTCTTTTCCTACTGCTCTATTTTCACAATAAATAGCTCAGATAAAATAGAGAGACTGTAATTTAAATATTGAGAAAACTTTTTATTTAGGGCAGGGGCATGTCTGGTTCTGGGACATAGAAGTACTGGACTAACTCTGCCTAACTAGTCCGTACAACTGCCTGAATCCATTCCCTTTTCAACTTTTAAGCTAAGAGAAGTTAAAAGGAATAGTCTGTATCCTGAAGTTGCTTTTCAGAGATACTGGCAGGGTTTTTATTGTGGTTTGGTTTGTTTTTTTTTTTCCCTTCCAGAAATATGAATGTAGTTCATGTGCCCCTTTAGTGTTGCAGACAACTGAGCTATGCACATGTCAGAAAAATGATTATGAACTCATCCGATGTCCTTACTGTAGGCTAATAAACTTTCCAAGTCTTTGTCTTTGTAGCCTTTTTGGGTTTAAGTACTTTGTCTCCTTTTACTTAAAAAATTAAAAAAAAAAAGGTTATTTTCTAAAATAAAACTGAGTTAAAAAGTAACTTTCTTCAAGTGGCGACGGGTGGCGAGCTTCTTGGACTGAGGGAGACATGTTACACAAATCAAAACAACAGATCGATATGACCCATTTTTATTGGGTCAGTGCTTCTTAATTGGTGCTCAAGCAAAAAGGAAGGTCAGTAGCAATACAGAACACCAAACCCAAAATTCATCATCCTAGAGATCAGAAAAAAAAAAGTTTACTCTGGTAGCAATGTCTGCAGACAGTTACTGTGTGCTCCTTCCAGTTGTAACTCCGTTTTTTGCCTAAGGATTAAATACAAGTATTCAAGATTTCCAGGAAAACAGAAGTTCACCAGAAGTTACAAGTAGTTGGAAAAAAGCTCTTCTTTGCTTCTTTCCCACTGGTTGAAAAAACAATTTTAGAGGAAACGCATTCGTGTTCTGAATTTGTGATAGCTATTTGACAACAAAATAGTGGTTCATTAAATGCAAATTTATTTTATACCAAAGAGAAAGAATTTGCATCATGTATTGTCAAATATAACACAGGTAGCCTCTGAAGTTTCAAATGTTGGTTTTGTTTGGATTTTGTGGTTTTTGTTGGTGGTGGTCGTGGTGTTTTTGTTTTTGGAGGGGGTTTTGCATAGAAATAGATAACATGAATTTTGAAAAAAAAAAGGTTACTTATTGTCATCTTTATGTGGAACTTGATTAAATATTTTCATTATTTGAGTTGGAGGACCAAAGATAATTAACCAGGAAGCCATGTCTGTTTACAACACAAAAAGGCAACCTACCTTCAGAAGAGAGCAATAATCAGTTAAGTACTACTTTTTTTTTTTTTTCTTCAGAGCCATGCCAAAAAACCCGCTACTGGTTTCTTCTTAGCTGGGAAGAGTCTTTGAAAAAATGGCTTTTAGTGGGAGATTTCAGCTGCTGTTATAGAAAACATTTGCACTATGAATGGTAGTCTAACAACATTATTGAAAAAATACAAAATTAAACTTGCTTTGAAAGTACTTGATGATTATCTGCTATTCTATAGGTGACTTTAAAGTTGGCTTGCTGTTCTGTCCTTTTAACTGCTGTAAGATATAAAGTATTCTGGCATAGGTGCTTAATCAGGCTTTGCAGTATGTCCCATGAGATATGTAAGAAGTAAAGCACTTGCATATGTTCTGCTTCATGAGGATTTCTTTAGTTTTGGAAGTAAATAAAGCTGATGCTGTGTGTTGTGTGCATGCTGCTAATGGAGTGAAAGGGGAATTGAATCCTTGTGATAAAATGGACTGTGATGAAGGCTTGCTTGGGCAACTCTGAGTACTAAAGACACTATCGAGGTTTTTCCTTTGCCCTTCCGAAAGCACTTTGCCATTGTGATGAGTTGCTCCTTCCAAAATGTGTTTGAGATAGTTGTTAAATGCTTTAGGTTTGGCAGAATGTAAGAGTGCATTCTGGGCTCCTTTGGGCATGGTCTCAGGTTTTCTTGCTTCTCCATTATATTACTAAGAAAGCCTTGTTTCTGGAAGTGTTCCTAGGTGATGCAGCTTGGGGTGCAGAAGAAGGGGTCTTGGTCTTTCTTCCTCTTGTGGTGGGTTTCAAAAGTGCTTTTCTCCAAGCTCCACCTTTGCTGGAAGGAAAAGGAACATTCTCTCTTCTAGTTAATGCACTCGGAGGTAATGAAAAAGCGGTTACAACACAGGTTTTCTTGAGGGGTTTTGTAATCAGAAACCTTATTCCCCAGCTCCCTTTGCAGTTTTCAAACTTTTGTGAATCTCCAAAGAAGTTATGAAGTGTTTCCTTCCATATCTGCACTCCTCTCCTGAGAGTCTAGGCTTTTGTCAACAATTATGAGAACCAGTGAGCCTCCCTCTTGGTATCCTACTTTCCATACACATGATAAAGGACATTTCTCACAGAGCAGCATTTAAAAAAGGGATTGGGCAAATCCGTGGAAGAAAAATCCGGTGAGACCTATTAAATACAAAGACATCAGTTACAGGTTGCTGGGAGAAAATTCATGGAAATTATCAAGCTCTGCCTGCCTTGGTTCTGCACTCTTCTGTGAATATCTGGTATTGGCCATAGTTGCAGACTTTTGGGAAGATCGACTTTTTGGCTGACCTGCTCAGGTCATCCTTGTGCATTTTGTTACCCTGTTCTTAGGTTAAATGCAAATGGAGAAAAGGACACAGAAATGCAGGTATTTTATCTCAGAACAGTGATGCTGCTTAGATTCCATGCAGGGAATCTGTTCAGCAGAATGGATTTAGCACATAAGAGGCAGTCGGAGTTAATAGCATTAGGTAGTGCTCTTGTTGCCCTCGCCTCAGGAGCTTGGTTTGGATGTGCCATGCAACTTCCCAGAGCTTGGTAATTTTTTGGAGTATATTATTAATCATACTGTTGGCGGTCTTAAAACACGTGCAGCTTGTGATTTCAGTATGTCTTAATTTACATGGAATCCTTTGGTTTATTCAGACTTATCCTGCCTTTCAGTGTAAAAGAGATGCTCTTTGTCACATAAACAAATACTTCTGCAAGAGTTCTGCCTTCTT